TGACGAGTTATTTGCGAGACAAGGGGATAAATATTATTATTATGAATTGTTTGAAAATAAATGAAGCGATTAGCAGTAATTTAGGAGGGAAGGTGAATTATCTGAGAAGTTTCCTAGCTAATGACATAAGGAAAATAGTAAAAAATGTAAATAGACCGACTGTGACGTTCATAATCAACACCCTAGACTCTGGTTCCCATAATAAAATGGGTCATTGGATAACATTCTATATTCATAATAAGGCTAAAGATTGAACCAAGATAGTTAGACACTTATGCTAATCCTACAATACGAACATATTCAAAACATTTCGAATAGTTTATGTCATACTTCCAAGACTATGAATTATATATTATAAAGAAAAGGATACAATCTACTTTTGTATCCTTACAAAAGAAGGATACAAAAGTAGAAGTTAGAAGTTACTTTTGTGGGAATTATGCTGTTCATTTTGCCTATCATCTTTCCTAGCTATCTTTAGAGGAAGCCTTGCGACACTTTGAAGAAACATTTAAATATGGGCAATTTCTTAAGAATGATGCAAAAGTGGTGAAATTTACTTATGCGCAGATGAAAATGCCGTTATACAAGCAAACGTTCTTCTTAAACGATCTTGAAAACTGTAAGAAATTATGTGAAGAAACTGTCTAGGTTATTAGTATGGTGAGTAATATTTGTGTGTTAAGATTGAGTGATAAACATAATATACACTAACAATAATAACTGAGCATATTTCATTTTACAACATTAACGACAAAAACTCAAAACATTTTTTCCTTCTTCAGATTGGTTTACTACGTTAGCAAGACGGCACGAGGAAGGGCTTTTGAACCTATGACGGGTTCTCAATGGACTGGCTAATCAAGAATGTAAAACAAAGAAGCAACTTATTATTATTATTATTATTATTATTATTATTATTATATTATTATTATTAATGTTTTTTTAATAAAGATATTTTATTAAACTGTATTAACAGTTTAATAAAGAATAAAATTATATAAATGTGTATACATTTCCAAAGTATAAAGGAGGGTTTAAGGAATTAACAGATGAATGATACATGATAGGTGAAGGAGGGAGAGAGGGAGGGAGGGGTCTCACCGGATGTGGTGGTAGTGGGGTACGAGTGAGTCCATTAGCCCAAATAGCTCACTACCCTCCCATCCTCTTGTTAGTGTAGATGTTATGACTGGGTCCGAGGAGGGTGTAATGGCTGATGTCTGTGTTTCATCTGATCTGATGGAGGCTTGATAGAGGGAGACATCAACAGAGGTCCTTTGGTTAATGTGCAGTTTTTTTTAACTCTCTGTGGCTGAGTGAGGGATAGTGGACAGCCTCTGCAGTTCTCAATGAATTAGAATAACTTTAAATAACGCCCTTAGCAGAGTGTTAAGTGTTTTAGGATGCTCCATACCCCCACACCCATCTATCTTGCTCTCTCAAGCTCCAGAAAGGGTTGGTGAGGGAAACCAGATGACTTGCCTACTACTACAAACTCATATGTAAGTATACCTTCATCATCTCAATTCAATTATTCCATCTATCTATCTATCGATTATACACTCCTACTCACACGCTCCTCCATACCCTCATACTGAAAATTAGAGAGAGAGAGAAACATCCCATCCAATATAACCCCTTCTCGACAACCCTAACCTAACCTACCACATACTGCACCCGGTCTCCTAGGCCAGGTGATGCCAGGTGTTGACACAATGCGAGCGAGAAGCCCTGCTGCCTCCCACTCAGAGCAAAAATAAGCATACAGCATGCCCCAACACCTTCTGCTAAGATACCTTTCTTACCCCAACCCCATCATTCACAACATGCCCATGAGTGCCACACACCTGTTCCACATGCTTTGATCTCCTACCCCCTATTCTTTACTCTCTCTAAGCATACACACACACACACACACACACACACACACTGCAGGTCTGGAATCAGGATGATAAGCTGATAATTGTAAATACCTACAGCCCACCAGCAAGCAACACATGGACAAAGGAAAAACTGGATGACAAACGAGAGGGCCTCATAATGGTCATGAGAGATATTATTGTACAAGCAGATAAAGATAAATCACGACTGTTGATACTGGGGGACTTCAACTTCAGAGCAATAGACTGGGAGGCCTATGAAGCAAGAACGGAGGACTTTTGGACATGCAGATTTGGGAACCTCATTCTGGAGACATTCTTGTATCAACATATAAAGCAAGCCACAAGAATGAGGGAAGGAGATGTACCGTCAGTACTGGATCTAGTATTCACCAGGAAAGAAGAAGAGATTTTTGACATCCAGTACCTTCCTCCCTTGGGAAAGAGTGATCACGTCCTGTTAGACATTAAATATGCTTTAAGATATCATCTAGAAGAAAATGGGGACATGGAAACAGTTGATAAACTCGATTTAAGGAGAGGCAACTATGGGGAACTTCGAAATTTTTTTAATGAGTGTAATTGGACAGAATTGTTGCTAGGCAGGGAAGTAAATGAAATGTATGCCAAATTTTTAAAACTATACGAGGAAGGCACACAAACATTCATACCAAAACAGAGATGCAGGGCCAGAAAACAGGATTGGTTCGACAGAAATTGTGAGAGGGCAAGAGACCAAAAGACACAAAAATGGAATCAGTATAGGAAGAGGCCAAACCCCCAAAAATACCAGCGATACAAAGATGCGAGAAACAACTATACAGCAGTAAGGAGAGAGGCAGAAAGAAATTTTGAAAAAGGGATAGCAGATAAATGTAAAACAGAACCGGGCCTATTCTACAAATTCATAAACAACAAATTGCGGGTAAAGGATAATATCCAGAGGTTGAAAATGGGAAACAGATTCACGGAAAATGAAAAGGAAATGTGTGAAACATTAAATGAAAAGTTCCAAAGTGTGTTTGTACAAAATGAAATCTTCAGAGAACCAGACACAATAAGAATTCCAGAGAACAACATAGAGCGGATAGAGGTGTCTAGAGATGAAGTGGAAAATATGCTAAAGGAGCTCGGGAAGAACAAAGCAGCTGGCCCAGATGGCGTTTCACCATGGGTTCTGAGAGAATGTGCATCTGAGCTCAGCATTCCACTTCACCTGATCTTTCAGGCATCCCTGTGTACAGGAATCGTAGCAGACGTGTGGAAACAGGCTAACATAGTTCCAATCTACAAAAGTGGCAGCAGGGAAGACCCCCTCAATTATAGACCTGTATCATTGACAAGTGTAATAGTGAAAGTATTGGAAAAGCTAATCAAAACTAAATGGGTAGAACACCTGGAGAGAAATGATATAATATCAGACAGACAGTATGGTTTTCGATCTGGAAGATCCTGTGTATCGAATTTACTCAGTTTCTATGATCGAGCCACAGAGATATTACAGGAAAGAGAGGGTTGGGTTGACTGCATCTATCTGGATCTAAAAAAGGCTTTCGACAGAGTTCCACATAAGAGGTTGTTCTGGAAACTGGAAAATATTGGAGGGGTGACAGGTAAGCTTCTATCATGGATGAAAAATTTTCTGACTGATAGAAAAATGAGGGCAGTAATCAGAGGCAATGTATCGGAATGGAGAAATGTCACAAGTGGAGGACCACAGGGTTCAGTTCTTGCACCAGTGATGTTTATTGTGTACATAAATGATCTACCAGTTGGTATACAGAATTATATGAACATGTTTGCTGATGATGCTAAGATAATAGGAAGGATAAGAAATTTAGATGATTGTCATGCCCTTCAAGAAGACCTGGACAAAATAAGTATATGTAGCACCACCTGGCAAATGGAATTTAATGTTAATAAATGTCATGTTATGGAATGTGGAATAGGAGAACATAGACCCCATACAACCTATATATTATGTGAGAAATCTTTAAAGAATTCTGATAAAGAAAGAGATCTAGGGGTGGTTCTAGATAGACAACTATCACCTGAGGACCACATAAAGAATATTGTGCAAGGAGCCTATGCGATGCTTTCTAACTTCAGAATTACATTTAAATACATGGATGGCGATATACTAAAGAAATTGTTCATGACTTTTGTTAGGCCAAAGCTAGAATATGCAGTTGTTGTGTGGTGCCCATATCTTAAGAAGCACATCAACAAACTGGAAAAGGTGCAAAGACATGCTACGAAGTGGCTCCCAGAACTGAAGGGCAAGAGCTACGAGGAGAGGTTGGAAGCATTAAACATGCCAAAACTAGAAGACAGAAGAAAAAGAGGTGATATGATCACTACATACAAAATAGTAACAGGAATTGATAAAATCGACAGGGAAGATTTCCTGAGACCTGGCACTTCAAGAACAAGAGGTCATAGATTTAAACTAGCTAAACACAGATGCCGAAGAAATATAAGAAAATTCACCTTCGCAAATAGAGTGGTAGACGGTTGGAACAAGTTAAGTGAGAAGGTGGTGGAGGCCAAGACCGTCAGTAGTTTCAAAGCGTTATATGACAAAGAGTGCTGGGAAGACGGGACACCACGAGCGTAGCTCTCATCCTGTAACTACACTTAGGTAATTACACTTAGGTAATTACACACTTTTGCGACTCTATGCAAGCAAAACATACACTTATCTTACCCTTACTACCACTTCACTATGAGAATAGATCAACACACACACCTGCTACACACCTGGTACACATGTTCACATGCTCACCCTTATACTAACCACACAACCTATTAAACACACAAGGACTTGAACCGGGCGAGAGGCGAGACACTCACTGGTCTGAGTCAGATCGCCGCACACTCACCTGGGCAACTTATCCACAGGTGGCGCACCTGCTCACACTCGGTTCTAGTCCTAATCTTCCCTACTCACCACCACCACTACCATCACATTGCAACACTACCACCACCACCACCACTATCACCACATTGCCACACTACCAGTACCACAACTACCACCCTGTTACACCATCACTAAACTGCTACATCACCACAACCACACTACTGCTCCACACATTCCGTCTCAACTTGTCAACTCACCTGAAGGGTGGTGAGCATCTGGGCGTCCAACACCATCACCCTCAGCGCCTCCTGCCCCGTCGCCGTTGGTGGTCCCAGACGCCTGCCCCACACCAGCCATGCTGCCACCTCCATCAGGCATCATCGATTGCTACCGGAGGTGCAAACATCAATAATAAATATATATATATATATGTGTGTGTGTGTGTGTGTGTGTGTGTGTGTGTGTGTGTGTGTGTGTGTAATTACCTAAGTGTAATTACCTAAGTGTAGTTACAGGATGAGAGCTACGCTCGTGGTGTCCCGTCTTCCCAGCACTCTTTGTCATATAACGCATTGAAACTACTGACGGTCTTGGCCTCCACCACCTTCTCACTTAACTTGTTCCAACCGTCTACCACTCTATTTGCGAAGGTGAATTTTCTTATATTTCTTCGGCATCTGTGTTTAGCTAGTTTAAATCTATGGCCTCTTGTTCTTGAAGTTCCAGGTCTCAGGAAGTCTTCCCTGTCGATTTTATCAATTCCTGTTACTATTTTGTACGTAGTGATCATATCACCTCTTTTTCTTCTGTCTTCTAGTTTTGGCATATTTAATGCTTCTAACCTCTCCTCGTAGCTCTTGCCCTTCAGTTCTGGGAGCCACTTCGTAGCATGTCTGTGTGTGTGTGTGTGTGTGTGTGTGTGTGTGTGTGTGTGTGTGTGTGTGTGTGTGTGTGTGTGTGTGTGTGTGTGTGTGTGTGTGTGTGTGTGTGTGTGTGTGTGTGTGTGTGTGTGTGTGTGTGTGTGTGTGTGTGTGTGTGTGTGTGTGTGTGTGTGTGTGTGTGTAAATCACGAAAAAATATACACGTGATTAAAAAATGAGACAATGTCAGATCACAGAGGAAGAATTGAAAAAGGAATTTGATATAGATTACAAAAGAAAGTAATTTGAACATTAGCAATTTGAACATCTACTTGCTTATACATGTGGCCATCCGGGCTCAAGAAGGGTGCCTTTTTAGTACAAGCTTGGAGTAGTTTCCTTAAAATGTTTTCTGGTATGTCAAGAGGAGCCCAGATGGGCACATGTATAAGCAAGTAGATGGGGTCGCCATGGGTTCTCCCCCTAGGTGTCCTGTTTGCGAACTTCTACATGGGTACCATCGAACAAAAGGTCTTAGTCGACATGAACTTGAAACCGGCCATATACTGCAGGTATGTTAATGACATTTTTACACAGGTACCTAATGTCAGACATCTGCAGGAGCTGAAGGAGGCATTTGAGCAGAATCCTGTGTTGCGTTTCACTTACGAGATGGAGAAGGATGGGAAGCTGCCCTTTCTAGATGTAACAGTCATGGAAAGGAGCGAAGGTTTCCACACTGCAGTCTACACTAAGGAAACAAACATAGGAATGTGCCTCAATGCCAACAGTGACTGCCCAGACAGGTACAAGAGGAGTGTCATTAACGCTTATGTCGACCGTGCTCTCAGCCACAGCTCAGGATGGAAGCAAGTCGATGAAGAACTCTGTAGGGTAAGGCAGGTCTTAGTCAACAACGACTTCTCCAATGGTTTCGTTGAAGACATCATAAGAAGGAAGGTGAAACGCCATGCAACCTCTGAAGAGACAACTAACACAACACCTGTACCCCCTATTAGACTATTTTACAGGAACTTCTTTTCCACAGCTCATAAAACGAAGGAAAGGGTCCTGAAAGATATTGTTAATAGAAACGTTATCCCTACAGACAAAAATCAGAAGATACAATTGATGATTTACTATAAAACCAAGAAAACGGCCAACCTACTCATGAGAAACTCTCCAGACACAAAGCAGAACGCTTTAAAAGAGACCAACGTCGTCCATGCCTTCAAATTCCCACTTGGGGACTGTAAGCCTCAAAGAATTCAGTATATAGGCAAGACAACAACATCTCTTTCCAGGCGATTAACGATGCATAAGCAACAGGGCTCCATTAAGGAACATATAATCTCTTCCCCTCACTGTAACTCTCTGCTTCCTATTGCTTAGGTACTCCCTTATCCACTGGAGCGCCCTACCAGTTACTCCTGCCTATTTCTCCAGCTTATGCATCAACCTTTTATGGGGTACTGTGTCAAAGGCTTTCCGACAGTCCAAAAAAATCCAGTCCGCCCAGCCTTCTCTTTCTTGCTTAATCTTTGTCACCTGATCGTAGAATTCTATCAAGCTTGTAAGGCAAGATTTACCCTCCCTGAACCCATGTTGATGGGTTGTCACGAAGTCTATTCTCTCCAGAGGTGTTACTAGGTTTTTTCTCACAATCTTCTCCATCACCTTGCATGGTATACAAGTCTGTAGTTCAGTGCCTCTTGTCTGTCACCCTTTTTGTATATTGGTACTACATTAGCAGTCTTCCATATTTCTGGTAGGTCCCCCGTTTCCAGTGACCTACTAAACACTGTGGAGAGTGGCAAGCAAAGTGTTCCTGCACACTCTTTCAATACCCATGGCGAGATTCCGTCTGGCCCAACAGCTTTTCTCACATTCAGCTCCAATAGGTGCTTCTTGACCTCATCTCTTGTAATTTCGAACCTTTCCAAGGTCACCTGGTTTGCTGCCACTTCTCTTAGCGCCGTGACTTCTCCCTGTTCTATTGTACCTCCTGGAAACTTTTGTTGATTTCTTCACACACCTCTTTGTCATTCTCTGTGTACCTGTCCTCGCCCAACCTGAGTTTCATCACCTGTTCCTTCACTGTTGTTTTCCTCCTGATGTGACTGTGTAGTAGCTTTGGTTCGGTCTTGGCTTTATTAGCTATATCATTTTCATACCTTTTCTCAGCTGCTCTTCTCACACTAACATACTCGTTCCTGGTTCTCTGGTATCTCTCTCTACTTTCTGGTGTTCTGTTATTACGGAAGTTCCTCCATGCCCTTTTGTTCAGCTCCTTTGCTTTCATACATTCCCTATTAAACCACGGACTCTTCCTTTGCTTCTCTGTTTTTTTCCTGTCGGTCTGGGACAAACCTGCTTACAGCCTCCTGACATTTTTGGGTAACATAGTCCATCATGTCTTGTACGGACTTGGTTCTGAGTTCTGTGTCCCAATGTATTTCCCATAGGAATTTATTCATCACCTCATAGTTTCCCGTTTCGGTACTCCAGCCCTTTGTTTCCCAGTTTTTTTTTTGGGGGTGATAATTCCTAGCTCAACCAGGTACTCAAAGCTCAATACACTATTATCACTCCTTCCCAAGGGGGCTTCCAACTTAACTTCCCTTATATCCGACTCATTTAGGGTAAATATCAGATCAAGCAAGGCTGGATCATCCCCTCCTCTCATTCTTGTCGGTCCCTTGACGTGTTGACTTAGAAAGTTTTTTGTTGCCACATCCAGCAGCTTAGCTCTCCATGTGTCTGGGCCTCCATGTGGGTCTCTGTTCCCCCAATCTATCTTCCCATGGTTGAAGTCTCCCATGATTAGAAGTCTGGATCCGTTCCTGCTAGCCACAGAAGCTGCTCTCTCTATTATATTGATGGTGGCCAAGTTGTTTCTATCATATTCCTGTCTGGGTCTTCTGTCATTCGGTGGGGGGTTATATATGACTACTACTATAATTTTTTGTCCTCCAGTTGCTATGGTGCCTGATATGTAGTCAATGAAACCTTCACAGTTCTGAATTACCATCTCTTCGAAACTCCAACCTTCTCTTATTAGCAAAGCTACACCACCTCCTCTCCCTTCTCTCTCTTTCCTCACTACATAGTAGCCCTGTGTGTGTGTGTGTGTGCACGTTGGTATTTAAAGAAATATATTATTGATCAATATCTGCAGTTGATGTCAAGAGGAAAGATGCAGCCTTACCATGAAACAGAGTAAAGGGAACCATGAATTGTTTGGGCGGAAAAGAACAACTGAAGAAGTTCTTGGATGGAGGAGATTTTGATGGAAGTTGATGTTCTTATTAGTAAAAGAAAAAGGCCAATAATAGAAGATTTATTGGTTCATTAATTAGTTAACTGCTGGGGAAGTAGAGATTATCTGTATTACTGACTAACGTCTGAATCGATAGAGATTAGGAAAGTATAGATATAATTCTGCAGCGTCAGCTCTCATTTAATGCAACACTGACCTTCCTGGAGCGAGGCACCCCTGGCGTCTCCCCCAGCAGGCCGGCGTCCTTGGCGAAGGTTGGGTCCTTCTCTACGAGGGCGTCAACGTAGGGCTGCGCTTCCCTGTTGAGGAGATTGACCAAGACTTCCAGCCCGCCCTCCCGGACCAGCCGAGCGCTCGTCGCCTCCAGCACCGAGCACTGAGTCACAAGACCAAGAGTGATACATAGCCTACTGTTCTTACCGCTGCCACTCTTGTCTTTACTAGGTCTACTAATGTTACAATTACTAGGCCCACATTTGTTGCTATTAATACTGTTGTTTTAATACTGTTACTATTGGCAATAATATTCCCAATGGTAGTAAATACTAGGCAATAATATTGCCAGTATTTTACCAACAAAATATATATATATATAATGTATAAACACCCCAACGAGTGTTTGTACTCACCCTTTTGAGTGTGTGTACTCTAGCAAGTGCTTGTACTCACCCTGGCGAGTGCCTTAGTAGCGAGAACTTGGAGCTGAGGTGAGGGAGAGTGGAGAAGCTTGACGAGAGCGGAGGTGTAGCCAGCGGCCTCGACTCGCTCCCGGAACACAGCCTAAGTTACAAGGAAAATGACTTGCAAAACTTTGTAAACAAAGCAGAAGCCTGCATTATTACACACACACACACGCCTAGTTCTAAATGAGTACACACGCCTCGATCACAGCTATACTACCGTGACTACAAATACATATTAAACACTCGTACATTTATATGTACTAAACATATAAATGCATATGCACTAAACATATTTATATGTAAAAGAGGACACCAATCACCTCTAAAACATACCTAACTACTCAGCTATTCATAACTGTCGTCCTGTACAAAGAGGTGGTGGTACTTCTCTTTACTACCACCATGAACTGACTTGCTTAAAAGTAATTAAATCTGGAGACCCTTATGGAGAGTATATATTTGCCTGTTTCAGAGTCAAGGGTAGCGATGCTGTCCTGACTGTGGGAGCAGTCTACAGGATTCCTAACACTGATGTGACTGAATTTAACTCTAACCTTAGAAATCTAATACTAGAGAACAGACTGAACAAAAACTACTTAAATATTTCTGGGGACTTTAACGTTCACCTCTGCGAGCCTGGTAACCCTCCTGCTGCTAGTTTCCTCAATTGTATGAATTCTACTGATGTTAATGACATAATTCTTTCCCTTAAAACCAAGTTTAGTGCCCTTGAGGAGATACCAACTTTAATTTACAAAAAAGCCTCCAGATCTTTAACTCCTGCCATTGCTTTGCTCTTCAACAAGTCACTTGAACTCCAAACCTTTCCAGATATTCTAAAAAAAAGCGAGAGTAACCCCTGTCAACAAAGTTGGTGATCTCACTGATGTCAACAACTTCAGACCTATCTCCCTAAACATGCTAAACATAATCTCACTCCATAAATTCTCTTGTGTCAACTACATTTACAAAACCCTGTTCTTAAAGGCAAATCCTTGTCTGAAACTCTTCCTGGACAGATGTAATAGGACCCATTATCACCACACCAGAAATAAATATCTCTTTGATATCCCCAGAGTTAAACTTAATCTGTGTAAACACTCTATGCAAATAAAGGGACCCAGTTTATGGAACTCACTCCCTATTGAATTGAAAAGCTGTCCAACTTTTACATCATTCAAAATCAATACTAAAAAGTACCTAATTTCATCTTCATAGTTTTTCACTTTTTGCCTTAAAATTGCACTGTATCTATTGCTACCCAATCTCCCAACCTTTATGTTCCCAATTTGAGCATCTTTACCATTGTGATCATTGCTGTCTTCTTATATGTGCTGCCAATCTGCTGTATGGTGTTTATAAATCTTGTTTATCTGTATCTTTTGCTACCCAGTCTCCCAATCTTTATGTACCCAATCTGAACATCTTTACCAATGTGATCATTGCTGTCTTATATGTGCTGTCAATCTGCTGTATGGTGTCTATTAATCTTGTTTAAATTACTAATCAAGCTGTCAATGTAATCAATCAGAGCTTTAATATAACAATGTGCTTTAATATACTTACTAAGCTCTCTCATCTCATTTTTCTCTTGCAATGTATCTTTATCATTTATCAGTTCTGATAGAAATTACCTACTTAAAATTATCTGCTAGATTAAGGACCTGCCCGAAACGCTGCGCGTACTAGTGGCTTTACAAGAATGTAAATACTGTACTATCCAATGTATTCTCACAACCCAAATGTACCTTCTTGTATATATATAAATAAATAAATAAATAAATAAATAAATAAATAAATAAATAAATAAATAAATAAATATCAATTCTGCCAAACTTGTCAAAAATATTTGAAAACTAATCTACAAGCAGCTTATCTAGCCAAAGTCAATATACTTAGCACCTGTCAATATGGCTTCAGACTCAAAAAAGCACTAACGATGCACTTATTAGTATGATTAACTTGATACATGCAGCTCTTGATAAAAATGAGTTCATGTTGGGTTATTTGTGGACCTGCGTAAGGCTTTTGACACTGTCAACCACCAAAACCTTCTTAAATTACAACATTATGGAGTCAGAGGTCACTCCCTGCAATACCTTCAGTCTTACCTTACTGACAGGCTCCAGTATGTTTCTGTGACTAATTCAATTTCTCCCACCCTACCCATCAACAACGGTGTTCCCCTGGGCAGCATACTTGGCCCTCTCCTCTTTCTCATCTACGTTAATGACCTTCCAAATGCCTCCCAACATCTCAAACCAATTCTATTTGCTGATGACACGACCTTCATTTACTCCAGTCCTGACCCCCTTGCTCTAAATGTCACAGTGAATACTGAGCTAAATAAAGTCCATCACTGGCTAACTGCCAACAAACTCGCCCTCAATATTGACAAAACTTTCTATATTTTTTCTGGCAATAAATCCTCAAATCAAAAAAATCTCAGGGTAAACAATACCCAAATTTGTAACAAAGTAGATGGCAAATTCCTTGGCGTTCTCATTGACCACAAGCTGAATTTCCAGGGACACATTCTAAATATATAAAAAAAAAGTTTCAAAAACTGTTGGCATTCTTTCTAAGATCAGATATTATGTACCTCGCCCTGCTCTGGTGACACTATTACTCTCTCATCTATCCTTATCTCAACTATGGTATTTGTACTTGGAGTTCTACTACCCAAAATCATTTACGTCCTCTAATTACCCAACACAAAGCTGCTATTAGGACAATATCCAACTCTGGCCCCAGACATCACTCGGTACCCTTACTCAAATCTCTGAATATGTTAGATATTAAGTCACTGCACATCCTCTCATGTGTATTTTATATATATAAAACGCTGAACTGTAATGTCAATCCTGACCTTAAAAGCTTCCTAGAAGGTTGTAACAGAACCCATGAGCACCACACCAGAAACAAATACCTATTTGATATTCCAAGAGTACGACTTAATCAAACTAGAAATGCTGTACAAATCAAGGGACCCAGAATGTGGAATGACCTTCCCAATCATGTTAAAGACTGTACCTCTCTCAACCAGTTTAAGATAAAAACAAAGTACTACCTAATTAACTCCCTGTAACCTACCTTACCCCCAAAATGTCAACCAATGTCTACTATTTTAAACAATGCTGTTTGTTGACCAAATTGTATTGTTGCTATTTTTTCTGCCATGTTCCCCCCCTTTTTTCATTTTCTCAACACAATTTATACTTTAATCTCAATTAGTACTAAGTTTTAGTCTTAGTGTTTTTCCTGCCCGAAATGTTTTGCATAATAGTGGCTTTAGGCATTCTATTCTTTAGGCAATTCCGTCCATTATATACAAGAGCGCCTCCCATGCCCTTGCGCCACTCATAGCTCTGCTGTTCAACAAATCTATAGAGTATCACACCTTCCCTGATATCCTTAAAAAAACAAGAGTTACGCCAGTCCATAAAGGAGGCAATCCGGCGGACATAAACAATTATAGACCAATATCAAATCTACCCATTCTATCAAAAATATTTGAAAAAATTATCTACAAACAGCTCTATTCCTACCTCGTAAAATTCGACATACTCAGCCCCTGCCAGTTTGGCTTCCGCTCCCAAAAGAGCACCAATGATGCAATCATTAGTCTCCTTGACGTAATCTACTCAGACCTTGACAAAAATGAGTTTCTGATCGGACTCTTCATTGACCTAAGAAAAGCCTTTGATACTGTTAATCACAACTACCTTTTACTTAAACTCCAGCATTATGAAATCCGAGGCCTTGCCCTGGACTATATCCGATCCTATCTTAGTGACAGACTCCAATGTGTAACCATCAATGACACAACCTCTTTCACTTTACCAATAACCGTTGGAGTGCCACAGGGCACCATATTAGGACCTCTTCTATTTCTTATATATATCAATGATCTGCCTAATGTCTCTAATATCCTTAAACCTATATTGTTTGCTGATGATATTCAGACCCCAACCCACATACACTAAATAATGTTGTGAATAACGAATTAAAAAAAGTCCACTTATGGATGTCAACTAACAAACTAACACTAAACATAGAAAAGACCTACTACATCTTATTTGGAAGCAAATCATCGAATGCAATTCAGCTACAGATAGACAACATTAACATCAGTAATAAAAATGATGGAAAGTTTCTTGGCCTATTCCTAGACAAGAGACTCAACTTCAGCACCCACATTCAACACATAACTAAGAAAGTCTCTAAAACAGTTGGAATACTCTCCAAAATAAGATATTATGTTCCTAACTCTGCTCTCCTCTCACTATATTATGCACTAATCTATCCCTATCTTAATTATGGTATCTGTGCATGGGGTTCTACCACTGCAAACCACCTTAAGCCCATCATCACCCAGCAAAAATCTGCTATCAGAATAATAACAAACTTTGCTTTCAGACAACACTCAGCTCCCTTGTTTAAATCCCTTAATTTGCTAAATATTAACTCCCTCCACACATTCTCTTGTGTCAACTACATTTACAAAACCCTGTTCTTAAATGCAAACCATGCTCTGAAACTCTCCCTGGACAGATGTAATAGGACCCATTATCACCACACCAGAAATAAATATCTCTTTCATATCCCCAGAGTCAAACTTAATCTGTGTAAACACTCTATGCAAAGTAAGGTACCTAGTCTATGGAACTCACTCCCTAGTGAATTGAAAAGCTGTCAAACTTTTGCCTTATTTAAAAACAAAATCGAAAAGTACCTAATTTCATCTTCGTAGTTTCCTACACTGAGCTTTAAATTTGCTCTGTATCTAGTGTTACCCAATCTCCCAATCTTTATGTACTTAATCCAAACAACTTTATCATTGAGTTCATTGCTGTCTTGTTTTATGTGCTAGCCATATGCTGTATTGTGCCTGCTAAGTTTTGTTAAACTACCATTCAAGCTGTCATTGCAATCACTCTGAGCTACCTATGTGCTTTAATATACCTACAATTTTTCTCTCATCTTTTAATTGTTTTCATGCTATGTAACTGTTATCATTTTTATAAATTTTGCAAGTGTTTATTTACTTATAAGTTTCTTAGATTAAGGACCTGTCCGAAACGCTGCGCGTACTAGTGGCTTTACAAGAATGTTATTACTGTGCTATGTATCCTCACAATCCCAATATACCTTCTTGTATATAAATAAATAAATAAATAAATAAATGTACTAGCTCTATCTATAAATCCATCATCATTTTGTATCTCACCTTGTATGTATGTACTTTACCTGAATAAATATTTGTATTTTTGTATATTTTAAGAAATATAGATGTGTCAACGAAAACACCGCCACAACTTAAAAAAAAATGCTTATTTACCTCTGCGATACACTGATGAATGACTCCCACAACGGGCACCAGGAGAGTTGGCCGCGACACTGCGAGTAAGCCGCCCACTAACTCCAGACCCCCCGCCCGCAGGAGAGCCGCCCGCCCATTCCTTGATACGCTGCACGCCCACAACGCCCTCGCCGCCCCTTCCACAGCAATCGCAAGCTCCGTATCTGTGTTCAGTGCACTGACCTCCACCCGCAGGAGAGACACCTATAATCCATCAGAGGTGAAACTTTAGTAACATTTTATACATCAATGTACCTCTGAAAATCCAACAATCTATAATATAATGCCACCATTAAAACAAAGATAGGATGAAACCGTGACAAATGTATAAAAGTACCATAGAAGGACTGACCAGTGTCGCCACCCCGCCGTCTCTGATGAGCGTGCTCCGGGCCGCAGACAGAGCGCACACCTGGGCCAGCACGGAGGCCGCCAGGCCGCGCACCTCCACCTGACAGTGGCCCACTAGCCCCTGCAGCACCTGCGTGGAAGGCCACAGTATATAACAGCACCCGAGTCCTAGTTCTAACGGGAGACATCTCCCGTCCACGAGGCTAACCTTAGCCCGTGCTTCTTGCCCCGCTCCTGTGCCAGGTAAGTTACGGGCTCACCATAGCCCGTGCTACTTGGATCTTGTTCCAAGTAGCTGAATCTCTAACAACAACAAACAACCTAGTTCCATATTGTTTGTACCCAAAATATACTCTCTTTTTTCCATGTGCACTATAAACATTACAACATCCATGAATGCTTCAAACATCACAGTAACACTATATACTCATGATATATGCTCACAAGACTCATTTTGTTAGCACTATATGACTATAAAGGAGAATATATGTATGCATGTCGGACGTAGACCGATATATATATATATATAATATATGTCGTACCTAGTAGCCAGAACGCACTTCTCGGCCTACTATGCAAGGCCCGATTTGCCTAATAGGCCGAGTGATTTTCTATAATTTCAATAAATTTTTCCTATTGGTTTATTTTAAATATTATTATTATATTATAATAGGAACATAAATTATTGATTTAGTTATGTTAGTTTAGGTTAGGTTAAGATAAGTTAGGTTAGGTTAGGTACGATTGGTTAGGTTCGGTCACATATATACGTTAGTTTTAACTCAAATTTAACAAAAAATTGCTCATACATAATGAAATGAATAGCTTTATCATTTCACAAGAAAAAAATGAAAAAATATTGAAATTCTGGAAAACTTGGCTTATTAGGCAAATCGGGCCTTGCATAGTAGGCCAAGAACTGCGTTCTGGCTACTAGGTACGACATATATATATATATATATATATATATATATATATATATATATATATGTCGTACCTAGTAGCCAGAACGCACTTCTCAGCCTACTATGCAAGGCCCGATTTGCCTAATAAGCCAAGTTTTCTTGAATTAATATATTTTCTCTAATTTTTTTCTTATTAAATGATAAAGCTACCCATTTCATTATGTATGAGGTAATTTTTTTTTATTGGAGTTAAAATTAACGTAGATATATGACCAAACCTAACCAACCCTACCTAACCTAACCTAACCTATCTTTATAGGTTAGGTTAGGTTAGGTAGCCGAAAAAGTTAGGTTAGGTTAGGTTAGGTAGGTTAGGTAGTCGAAAAACAATTAATTCATGAAAACTTTGCTTATTAGGCAAATCGGGCCTTGCATAGTAGGCTGAGAAGTGCGTTCTGGCTACTAGGTACGACATATATATATATATATATATATATATATATATATATATGTCGTACCTAGTAGCCAGAACTCACTTTTCAGCCTACTATTCAAGGCCCGATTTGCCTAATAAGCCAAGTTTTCCTGAATTAATATATTTACTATAATTTTTTTCTTATCAAATCATAAAGCATCCCTTTTCTCTATGTATGAGGTCAATTTTTTTTTGTTGTAGTTAAAATTAACGTAGATATATGACCGAACCTAACCAACCCTACCTAACCTAACCTAACCTATATTTATTGGTAAGGTTAGGTTAGGTAGCCAAAAAAAGCTAGGTTAGGTTAGCTTAGGTAGGTTAGGTAGACGAAAAAACATTAATTCATGATAACTTGGCTTATTAGGCAAATCGGGCCTTGAATAGTTGGCTGAGAAGTGCGTTCTGGCTATTAGGTACGACATATATATATATATATATATATATATATATATATATATATATATATATATATATATATATATATATGTCGTACCTAATAGCCAGAACGCACTTCTCAGCCTACTATTCAAGGCCCGATTTGCCTAATAAGCCAAGTTTTCATGAATTAATGTTTTTTCGTCTACCTAACCTACCTAACCTAACCTAACCTAGCTTTTTTTGGCTACCTAACCTAACCTTACCTATAAATATAGGTTAGGTTAGGTTAGGTAGGGTTGGTTAGGTTCGGTCATATATCTACGTTAATTTTAACTCCAATAAAAAAAAATTGACCTCATACATAGAGAAAAGGGTTGCTTTATCATTTCATAAGAAAAAAATTATAGTAAATATATTAATTCATGAAAACTTGGCTTATTAGGCAAATCGGGCCTTGAATAGTAGGCTGAGAAGTGAGTTCTGGCTACTAGGTACGACATATATATATATATATGTCGTACCTAGTAGCCAGAACGCACTTCTCAGCCTACTATTCAAGGCCCGTTTTGCCTAATAAGCCAAGTTTTCATGAATTAATTGTTTTTCGACTACCTAACCTACCTAACCTAACCTAACCTAACTTTTTCGGCTACCTAACCAAACCTAACCTATAAAGATAGGTTAGGTTAGGTTAGGTAGGGTTGGTTAGGTTCTGTCATATATCTACGTTAATTTTAACTCCAATAAAAAAAAATTGACCTCATACATAATGAAATGGGTAGCTTTATCATTTCATAAGAAAAAAAATAGAAAAAATATATTTTTTCAGTAAAAAATGGCTTATTAGGCAAATCGGGCCTTGCATAGTAGGCCAAAAAGTGAGTTCTGGCTACTAGGTACGACATATATATATATATATATATATATATATATATATATATATATATATATATATATATATATATATATATATATATATATATATATATATGTCGTACCTAATAGCCAGAACGCACTTCTCAGCCTACTATTCAAGGCCCGATTTGCCTAATAAGCCAAGTTTTCATGAATTAATGTTTTTTCGTCTACCTAACCTACCTAACCTAACCTAACCTAGCTTTTTTTGGCTACCTAACCTAACCTTACCGATAAATATAGGTTAGGTTAGGTTAGGTAGGGTTGGTTAGGTTCGGTCATATATCTACGTTAATTTTAACTCCAATAAAAAAAACTGACCTCATACATAGAGAAAAGGGTTGCTTTATCATTTCATAAGAAAAAAATTATAATAAATATATTAATTCAGGAAAACTTGGCTTATTAGGCAAATCGGGCCTTGAATAGTAGGCTGAGAAGTGAGTTCTGGCTACTAGGTACGACATATATATATATATATATATATATATGTCGTACCTAGTAGCCAGAACGCACTTCTCTGCCTACTATGCAAGGCCCGATTTGCCTAATAAGCCAAGTTTTCCTGAATTAATATATTTTCTCTAATTTTTTTCTTATGAAATGATAAAGCTACCCATTTCATTATGTATGAGGTCAATTTTTTGTTATTAGAGTTAAAATTAACGTAGTTATATGACCGAACCTAACCAACCCTACCTAACCTATCTTTATAGGTTAGGTAGCCTAAAAAGTTAGGTTAGGTTAGGTTAGGTAGGTTAAGTAGTCGAAAAACAATTAATTCATAAAAACTTGGCTTATTAGGCAAATTGGGCCTTGCATAGTAGGCTGAGAAGTGCGTTCTGGCTACTAGGTACGACATATATATATATATATATATATATATATATATATATATATATATATATATATATATATATATATATCCACAGGTGTGAGTGTAGCCGAGTCACATGTGTGAGTGCTTGTGGCTGACTTTCATAACTGACCTGTAGTCCTCCAAGCTTGTAGACGGCGGCTCGGGTGCTCATGTAACTGCAGGCGCCCTCCAGCACCTGCAACGCCCCCACCTGCACACCAGTTATCATATCATATATTTATATCGATGATGATTGGATTTTATGTATGTATGTATGTATGTATGTATGTATGTATGTATGTATGTATGTATGTATGTATGTATGTATGTATGTATGTATGTATATATATATATATATATATATATATATATATATATATATATATATATATATATATATATATATATATATATATATATATATATATATATATATATATATATATATATATATATATATATATATATCAGTTGCATATTGTCCTGGGGACCATTCAGGCTTGTTCGCTTATATATATATATATATATATATATATATATATATATATATATATATATATATATATATATATATATATATATATATATATATATATATATATATATATATATATATAACCTCTAGCTGGAAGAAGGGGGACCCATAGCCTCGGAGGAAACCACGCATAACGCATTAGAGGGAATGTTTAGATCCCCTCCAATACAGTTTCTGTGTGCTTTTCTCCTACCACCCCCTTCCTTGAATATTTTTTGTGCTTTATTATGCATTTGATGGTTACAAGATATACATGGGTTGATACAAAAATAATAATGCAAAAAGGTGCTTAAAGGTTATGGAATATATAGGTTAGGAATTAAGGTTATGGAATATAAAGGTTATATATATATATATATATATATATATATATATATATATATATATATATATATATATATATATATATATATATATATATATATATATTAAAAAACATAATTATACATCACAATTTAGTTAAAAATCATCGATTAAAAGCTCAAAGATTTTTAAATTCAATATCAGTTAAAAGACTGATATTGAATACAAAAATATTTAATTAAAAAAATTATTAAAAGAATAATATTAATCAATAAAGAAAAAAGAATTAAAAGATACAAAAAGTAAAAGGCAAAAAATATATACAAAATTGAAAATAACATTTTTGAAAAAAAAAAAAAACTTGAGAAGACGAAAATTAGTGAGCAAAGAACTGAGTCAAAGACTCATAGTTGTTCAACTTGGGTCTGATTTTGGCGATGTAAACAGATTCCAAGATGTTGAGATCTATAGTAAGATTGCTGTGAGTGAGTCAGAGAGAATGTTGAGTTTATAGATACTTCCATTTTTGGTTCTAAACTGTTTAAAATAAATTCTATTAAAAATCATATTAAATAGAGCTTTCAGTCTCTGATTACAAATTAGTTGATGTCCATAACTCTCTTTTGCGGACATGGTTGTGGGAGGTTGGAACCTCAGCAGCTCCATTTTGACCAGACCACACACTAGAAGTTGAAGGGACGACGACGTTTCGGTCCATCCTGGACCATTCTCAAGTCGATTGTGACTGATTGATTGATTGTGACAATCGACTTGAGAATGGTCCAGGACAGACCGAAACGTCGTCTTCCCTTCAACTTCTAGTGTGTGGTCTGGTCAACATACTTCAGCCACGTTATTGTGACTCATCGCCAGCAGCTCCATTGTTAAATAACAAGGAGTATAGCGGTTGCGGGACGGCACGAGTGTTGCTCTTATCCTTTAACTACAAACAGGCAGTCACACACACACAGCCGCGAGGGGGCCTCGAGGCTGAGTGAACAGCGCTCGGGGGGGGGTGTAGTCCTAAGGGTCCGAGTTCGATTCCTGGCCGAGGCAGAAACAAATAGGCATAGTTTCTTTCTCCCTTATTCATCTGTTCACCAAGTAGTAAATAGGTAACTGGGAGTTAAACAGCTGCTATGGGCTGCTTCCTGGGAATGTGTGTGTGTTTGTAAGGTAATTATATGTTGTAGACATAATAGAGAAAAAATAAATTGGTTACAAAGGCAGGGTCCAAGAACTAATAGCTGGATTCTACAGATACAAATAGTAAATACAAATAGGAAATACACACACACACACACGTAGCCTATAAAAAAGGAGACTATATGAAAGTAAGAGAAGAGAAGAAGAGTGAGCACTCTGGGAAGAGTGCACTGGGAGGAGGAACTTTGAAGGAAGACGGTCCAGGAAATGATGGACCAAGTAAAACTGAGGTGCAAACCCTGGAAACACAAACCGAAACTGTCTATTTTCCGTTTGTTACAACTTGTAATAAAGTTGTTACATCTTGGCTTAACGTGTTTATGACGTATTAGAACGGTGTTACAACTTGCTATATTGGTTCTTATGACTCGTTAGGAGGTGTTAAAACTTGTTCGAACGTTGTACCAACGTCGTAGTTTAGGTGTGTGTTTGGCGGGAAGAGGCTGAAGAGAGATTCATACCACCAATAACATAAAAAAGTAGAACATATAATAACTCGTGGTTCAATAGGCCGCGCCAGGCAGCAAAGAGCAGGAGGGAGTGGAAGAAATACAGAAGGCAAAGGACAGAGGAAAACTGGATTAGATGCAACGGGGCCAGGAATGACTACATAAAATGTTACGACCCTGGAGCCAGATTAATGAAGCAGTTACGTACGTACTTATGAATGTTTCTCTTCTTAGCATCTTCGTAGCGGCTACGTCGGTATTCAGGTAGGCATTTAAGAAGAAAAATCTTCGTAAGTACACCGCCTCGATTTAAGGATGGGCTCGACCACTCGTAGCTTTACGTAAACTGGATATAACTGAATTTATCTCTACTACACAAGACGGAGGATCGATTTTATTATAAACAAAACATTTTAGCTGGAGTCTCGTCAAGAGGAGACCTTCGTGTTAACTATATATGTATTCTCTGCTTGAAACTTGTAGTAAATATGTCTTTTATGATAGTAGAATTAGTTTCATAATAGCAAGATATTATACCAGTAGTTATTAGGTAAATAAACTCTGGTGAACATGAAATATGAGAGAAGGTGATGGTGGGAGCATTTACTGTCACCAAATGCCCCGGTTCACCTAGCAATAAGTAGAGCTAGGGGGTGTACCTTAGCTATACATACCCCTTTTTAATTTATTTTGTTTGGTTTTATTTTGAAATTAAATCTGGGTGAGACATAATAGAAAAATATGCTGCACAAATGATCTTAGGTAAGGATATGGGTAAAAACTTCAAAAACTTTTCTCATTAAATACTTAAACCTATAATTATGACTATATGGACTATTAAAAAAGAGAGAGAAAAGTAGGGGGTCCAAGACCTCTTCCTGTTACACAATTTGGCTCTGTAACAGTAAGTAATTATCAAAAGACGGCACCAAGCCAAGAAGGCTATGTAGCAGTAAGGCAGTGAGGTGAGGCTGCTACTTATTTGAGGAATGGTTACTTTATTTTATTTACCTTATAAGCTGAGTCAGGCTATTTTATTTGAGAAATGCTCAGCTGATTCCTCTACATTTAACATGGTACAAATCACAGTCTCCGTGGTGTAGTGGTAAGACACTCGCCAGGCGTTCCGCGAGCGCTATGTCATGGGTTCGTATCCTGGCCGGGGAGGATTTACTGGGCGCAATTCCTTAACTGTAGCCTCTGTTTAACGCAACAGTAAAATGTGTACTTGGTTGAAAAAACGATTCTTCGCGGCAGGGGATCGTATTCCAGGGACCTGCCCGAAACGCTACGCGTACTAGTGGCTGTACAAGAATGTAACAACTCTTGTATATATCTCAAAAAAAAAAAAAAAATTATCAAAAGAAGGCACCAAGCCGGGAAGACTATGTAGCATCAGTGTGTGTAACAATAAACCATATTTTTTTTTTAACAGATAATGCACCTGCGAGTAAAACAAATCCTGACAGCTGTAAAAATATTGATTCAGTCATTTAAATAAAAAAATATAATGAAACAAATATTAATGGGTTGTTTATCCTATTTTCTTCTAATGTATATCCAAAGAAGTGAAAAATTGAGACATTCTGCACAATTTAATGATTCACAAAAAATATTAATAACATTGTTGTCTTCTTTTTATCTTCTAGTGTGTGGTTTGGTCAACATTACTAACATTACATATCAATATGAGATCTTAATGACCCATGGTTAACATTTATAATTTAATAATGATAATACTCCTAATAATAATAATACTTAATCTTATAATACTTAATAATAATAATACTAGTAATACTACTTAATACTTAATAATAATTCATCTTGTTTAAATTACCAATCAAGCTGTCAATGTAATCAATCAGAGCTTTAATATAACAATGTGCTTTAATATACTTACTAAGCTCTCTCATCTCATTTTTCTCTTGCAATGTATCTTTATCATTTATCAATTCTGATAGAATTTACCTACTTAAAATTATCTGCTAGATTAAGGACCTGCCCGAAACGCTACGCGTACTAGTGGCTTTACAAGAATGTAAATACTGTACTATCCAATGTATTCTCACAAACCCAATGTACCTTCTTGTATATATAAATAAATAAATAAATAAATAAATAAATAAATAAATAAATAAATAAATACAAGCTATAATTTAAAACCTTTATTACTGATTTCTTTTTATTAACAAGCTTAGGTATACACAGCAATGTGCTGCTACTCTATTCTATATGAAAGATCACAGTGTAGATCATAAACTACCTACAAGCTCATCCAACATCCCCACCTCACAGTACGGCCAATCATGCATGGAATCAGGGGAGAATAAGAAATGTAAGGCTGATCTATTAGCCTACACTAGCAAAATCTGGCTACAGCACAAGAATATCTTCCAATATTCCTGAGTGTTTGAAGTAATTTCAAAACTCAAAGTACCTCATACCATTTGGTCTGAAGTCACTGATAACAGGGAAATCACAGATATAATGTTGGAGAGTATGTCCTCTCAAGTAGGACTGAAAATAGATGTTTTTTTCACCCAGAGGGTTATAAACCCATGGAACCGCCTACCCGCTGAAGCCGTAAAGGCCAAAATCCAGCTAGAAAATATCATTAGGACAATTGGCGGGACTTAACAAGCCCCGGGTTTTTGTCCTCGTCGAGGCCACTAGATAGTTAATGGCCCTTGGGTAAATTTAGGTAAATATATACGTAAGTAAATACCATTGCTTCTCAAATCCTTGGGAGCGACAAGGAAAGTTATACACTATCTCTTAGAATTACGTAGGTAAACAAAAAATGTAACATATTTGTATATTACAATGTCGGTGCTGACTGTACAAGTCAAAAAAACATAGTTTTACTTCGAAATACACTAATTTTATAAGAAAATTAGACGTAAATAAGTCGCAAGTGATCACGGATAAGCTCCGATATGCCAGCGTCGTGATTGGCTACAGCTGTAAGATGAAAAATGTTACCTTCTCTCTGATTGGCCAAACTAAAAACCTAGTGACATCTTGCGAGACTTAGGTGAACTACTTAAAATTCTTTTCTGAATCGCCCTTTGGCGCATTCTTAGCCCGGTACTTAGGAACCTTCGTAGCACACATACTTACGAAGAAATACGTGGAGCTTCGTGAATCTAGGTCCTGGGTCGTAGCGCTCCTGTTTTCACATGAATAGGGACCATTTACTCTTCAGTATTTTAGTGATAGGCCCTGAATGTTTTGGATTATGTGTGGGATTTTGGTTAGTTAAATTATAGAGGGTTTTTAGATATGTTTGGGTTTAAGAAGAAGTGAACTCTATAACATCTTATATTTAAGAGGACTGAAACCTCATCTTGGCAAGTTGTGGTCGACCGTTTCTCTGCCAGACGTAAGAGCACGTTGATGCTCACAAATTGGTCATACACTGTGTTAATATAATGTTAGTGTATTGTAAAGCTAGGATGTTAGTTATGCTTAGAACTGTATAGTAGCAATTTTATACTGTATTGGATGTTAAGTAAATGTTACTGTACAACCAGTTAAATCATTCAGACAGCGAAGCACATGGTGAGAATGGTTCTTCTCTAACTAGTCCCGTCCCGTGGTCCGTCCCGCCCGTCGTGCTGTGGGCTCTCTCTTCTTACCTCCTTCCATTTTCTTCTCTCCTTAATCTTTATTGATCAGGTTATGTACTATACCATTACTGTAACGTGCCACTAATTGTTCTAAGTGTAATTGTGTTCTAGTCGGTTATTTTGGGTTCCAAGAGTTAAGTTCTTTGGAGCTGACTAGTGAACACGTGATGCGTGTAATAGGATATTAAGTTGAGTGGTGTGTACTGTCCCTTAAGGAACGTAGACCTTACCTCTAGTTTGTTGTATGTAATTCTCGTCTCCTGTCTGTGTTAAGGTAATTATATTAAGGTAATTTAAAGCTGGAGTTTCCATTACCTATTTTGAGTTGGGGTTTAAGCGACCTAGATGACAGACTATTACTATTTATTCTTTGCTGGGAATTGTTTCCCTGGGGCCCGGGGCCTTACCTAACCTCCGGCGCCCGGGATCGAACCCGGGACCACAGGATCATGCGTCCAGTGTTCTGTCCACTCAGCCGCCGGCTCCCTACAGAGCATCCACTTTTGTAACATAAACATAAAAAGATTGGCAGAAAGAAACTATGAATATGACATTGCCTCCAAAGCAGAGACAACCGAAACTCCTACAAAGCCATATAAGAAGGAAAATGACAGTGAATAACCAAATGACCAGGTTACGAAAAATGGGAAGGCCGGTATACAGAAGATGATAAAGAAATTAGAGGAGCTCAATGCCAGCCTCCATGGAGTGTTTACTACTGAAACCGAACAGCTCCCAGAGCTAGATGAGGAGGCAGCCCCTGACGAGAAGCTACTAATATTGAGGTAACAGTGGAGGAAGTAAGAATACAGATAGCATCACTGGAGGTAACTAAGGCTACTGGGCCATATAGAATGTCACCATAGATGTTAAAAGAAGCAGCAGAGGCCCTCGGCATACCTCTAGCACTAATTTTAATGAGTCACTTTCTCAGGATAAATTGCCCAGCTGCTGGAAGTAGGCAAACGTGGCGCCAATCTACAGGAAAGGAGATAGAGAAGAGGAAATTAACTACAGACCAGTGTCGCTCACAAGCATCCCTTGCAAAGACTTGAAAGAATTATAAAGCTAAGACTAGTTGCACATCTAGAAAAAATTAGGTTTGTAAGTAAACAATAACACGCCTTTATATATAAAATTTATGGTCTTTTTTTTGTAAAATTCATTAATAAATTGTGAATGATATATAATGGCTGTATGAAACATTCAAAATACATTTAGTTATTATATGATCAGATAAAATTAGTTGTCATAATTTGGCTAAAAATCGCTCTTTTTAAAACAATTTGACTAGGAGGTGAGCGAGGAGGAAGAGCAGAAGATGGACGAGCTCGAGGAGGAAGAGCAGAAGATGGACGAGCTCGAGGAGGAAGAGCAGAAGATGGACGAGCTCGAGGAGGAAGAAGGGATCTGCCCGAAACGCTGCGCGTGCTAGTGGCTTTACAAGACTGTAATTACCATATTTGTATCCTCACATTCCTTATGTACATTCTTGTATATGCATAAATAAATAAATAAATAAATAAATAAGGGTTAAAGAAGAGAAATCATGTCTGACGAACCTCCTGGAATTCTATGATAAGGTAACGAAAAAAGGCAAGGCAGGGAAGGATGGGCAGATTGCATATTTCTGGACTGCTAAAAAGCCTTTGATACAGTTACTATACAAACAGTTACTATACAGTTACTGTACATAAAAGGTTACTATACAGACTTGAGAGGCAGGCGGGAGTAGACGGAAAGGTAGACGTAGAAAGGAATTACCTAACAGACAGGTGTCAGAGTGTGATAGTGAGGAGCGAGGAGTCCGACTGGCGCAGAGTAACAAGCGGAGTGCCTCAAGGATCGGTGCTGGGACCTATTATATTCCAATTTTATGTAAATAACTTGACTGCAGGAGTTGAGTCTTTTATGTCGATGCTTGCAGATGATGCAAAACTAATGTGAAGGATTGAGACAGATGAGCATTGTAAGATTCTCCAGGATGACTTGAACAAATTGCAGAGCTGGTCTAAGAAATGGCTGCTAGAGTTCAACACTAACAAGAGCATGGTGTTGGAAATGAGAACAGGAGCCAGGAGACCGAAAAGCCAATACCCGATGAATGGAAACTACCACCCTATAAAGACTAAAGAAAAAGTCCTGGGAGCAGACATCACACCAAACCTAACTTTAGAGGCTCATATAAATAGAATAACGTCAGCCGCTTTCTCTACTCTGGCAAAGGTCAGAACATCCTTCAGAAACCTGAATAAGGAGGCTTTTAGATCACTGTATACCGTCTGTCTGAGGCCAGTCTTAGAGTATGCCGCCCCATCTTGGACCATCCCCCCCCCCCATCTCAAAAGACACATAAGGACGCTCGAAAAAGTACAGAAATTGTCAACGAGACTTATCGCAGAGCTGTGACGGTTGAGGTACAAAGAGAGACTGAAGCAACTAAACCTGACCACAGTAGAAAGGAGGGAGAGGGGGAGACATGATACAGACGTGTAAAATACTTAGAGGGATTGACAAGGTGGAAACAGGAAATGTTTACAATGAATATCAATAGAATAAGGGGGCACAAAAAGAAGCTTGAGACTCAGATGTGTCATAGTGATGTTTGGAAGTTTTCTTTTAATGTAAGTATAGTGAGTAAATGGAATGACCTCAAGGAGCAGATTCTTGAGAATAACTGTAGCTAATTTTTAACTTTAAAAAAGGTATGATAGGGAAATAGACCAGGAGTCATTGCACTAGACAACCAACTGCTGGGAAAGTGGGACCCATGAGCAAGAAATTGATCATGCAGGCACAACTAGGTGAGTACACACACACACACACACACACACACACACACACACACACACACACACACACACACACACACACACACACACACACACACACACACACACACACACACACACACACACACACTACACACACACACACACACACACACACACACACACACACACACACACACACACACACACACACACACACACACACACACACACACACACACACACACACACACACACACACACACACACACACACACACACACACACACACACACACACACACACACACACACACACACACACACACACACACACACACACACACACACACACACACACACACACACACACACACACACACACCATGCTCCTATGATAGCAGATGAGGCGAGCATCACTCTAGGGTGTTCTGTTATTGAGCAAGGTATACCAACCTCTTGGGTGGCTTAATCTTTATCAATCAATCAATCAAGGTATACCAGCAGAAGGTCAAGACTCACGTTACAGCGGAGATTACTGGTGCGGAGGATGTTGAGGAGCACCTCCAAGCCGCCCACCACCTTAAGGGCCACCTGACACACCTCTTGATGCAGACCACAGTCCTTAAGGCCCACCAGGGCGATAGTGGTACATGTAGCATTCCCCACCTTCAGATACTAGGGATAAGAGAGATACACGTCACATTCCTGATTTCTGAATGATGGAGTGTGTGTGTGTGTGTGTGTGTGTGTGTGTGTGTGTGTGTGTGTGTGTGTGTGTGTGTGTGTGTGTGTGTGTGTGTAGTAAAGGTACCACCTCTGGTGCAATTGTAGGGACCCATAGTATCTGAGAAGAAAATAAAGAAAGTCTCACAGAGAAGACTTTGTGGACCCTCACTGAACATTTCTTCTACCATCCCTATTCTTTTTGTATGTATGTATATATGTGTCTCATTTTATTTTATTTAAAACTTCATTACACAAAAAATACTCAATGACTTACTCATCCACTGGTGTCTGAAAAGAAAATAGTATGCACTGTATCACACAGACGCAGGAATAACCAATACTGAAATAATGATATAAAAATATAATATTAATACCAACACTGTACAACTCAAATGCACAGAAGTATAAGATATACTAAATGTGTGGCGTAGGAGGGGGATACAGGGGACACAGACCGTGCATACATCTTGGGTGTCGGAAAATCCGACACCATTTAATATAACATACAGACAGATAATAATTGCTGTATTGTATAAACAAGTTAACCATAGAAAACGTAACTTGTAGTGGAATTACCGTCTATAGAAAACGGGATATCATCACCACATACTATTATAAATTCTCCACCTATTATGGTGGGAATTATTCTTAAATACATTAGTCTTTGGACTTTACCATCATAAAAACATCTCATATAAATTAACTTAATTATCAATATTAAAGTAGAGTTAATGTGACCCTTCTATCACTTTCTGTCATCTGGACAATGTAAGCCAGGCGTCAGGGTGAGGAAGGAGGGGCAGCCATTGTTTATATTAGACCAGAGGCTCACGGGAGCAAATACGGCTCCTGTTAATTTTACTTGGACGTAGTGTTATGGAAACCAAAGGTGTACCATCTTCAACACGCTGTCAACAAATTCAAGTTAAGTGTTCTTCCGAAACCCATTTATCTTTCATTTATGGCCATTAATGTCAGTGGATATAGGGTGACCCGGTTAGAGCACAAGGCAGCCTCAAACTAAAGGTAATTAGCCCAGGTCTTCATTGTTCCATGTACAGTGTTTCTCTGATATAGCTGTCATATATAGGAATCTGGCTTCAGCTAGCGCCCTTTTGACAGGTCAAGACGAGGAAGCATGCTTTGTGCATCAGTTACCAGGGTGATGGAAGCTACCTCAAAGAGGGAAAATGTGGTGTCTACATCCTGGTTATACCTGGTGGACTAAGGCCTGCTGTACAATAAGATAAGGAACCTCTTCAATGTATGTAGTCTAATACTGTAGTTTGATTGGCTGCATATATATAAATTAAATTAATATAAACCCCCCTAATGTGTAGAGGATCGATTTGTGAGATTATGAGATTATTGCAGAAATACAGTCCACTTATCATTATACAAATTGCTATCGAAGTATATAAATTAATGTAAATATAAATTCTATATAAATTCATATAAATTAAATAAATATAAATCTCACAGGTCAGTCACCACATTGGGTTGCAACATGGTGCACAGATGGTGCACAGCCTACGGCCCCCAGCATATGCTAATGATAACAATGATGATGATGATTGCAAAGGGGAGAATGATGTAATTTTGCTTAGTATTGAAAAAGAAATAAATACAAAAATTCAAAATTTAGAAATGTCAAAAGGATCGTTTAGCATATGGCGGGTATGAGGTTCCATTTTATGAACGAGTGAAAACCCAAAATGATTCGCCCTAGTATCTTTTTTTTTTTTATAAAAAAATATGGGAGTGTAGAGTGGTAGGAGGTAAGTTAGGGTAATCATGGAGGAGTGTTATACGGTAGAGATGAATTCAAATGCGATTGATAAGAAATAGGTGTGAATAATAATATTAATTGAGTGAAGATGGATACATACATACTCAACTCATGTGTGCAGTAACAGTTGTCTCACTGGGATGAGGAGGAGGATGTAGAAATGTCTCACACCACAAAGCGAGATACTCTCTCCCTCTCCAGGCGTAAGTCGTGGTGAAAACACTGTTAAAAACAAAATATTCCCTGTTTCCTCTCTCTCTCACACACACACTGGTTGAAATTGGATAAGTTTAGATTTAGGAAAGACTTGGGTAAATACTGGTTAAGTAACAGGGTTGTTGATTTGTGGAACCAATTGCCGCGTAACATTGTGGAGGTGGGGTCCCTCGATTGTTTCAAGCATGGGTTGGACATGTATATGAGTGGGATTGGGTGGTTATAAATAGGAGCTGCCTCGTATGGGCCAACAGGCCTTCTGCAGTTGCCTTTGTTCTTATGTTCTTATGTAACACAACGGAGCTATATCTGATACCAATTTCGGGGCGGCGTGAGGCTCCTGCAGCAAGGAAGTGGTTTGCTCTCTCCCCTCCGACGTGACCACAGGAATTTAGAGTTAATTGTTTATTTCCCTTCACTCTCACAGGCAAACATCCTCTCAGGTGGAGAGTCCTGACACAACTGAGCTGGTCAGCACACTCTTGTGTGACCACATCCTCCCCCTGCTCCTCCTCCTCCCCCCCCTACACTCCCTCTGCCTTACTCCCTTCCCACATGTTACCTGTCAGTCAATGTCAATTCTTTAATCCCCTCTTTCTGTCTGTCCTATCCACTCAAACCAGACAGTTTCTCTGTTTGCTGGTGTTGTCCTTTTCTTTCACATTTATTTACCAGGCACTCCAGGCAAAGGGGATATTAATAGGGTATTAAAAGTATCAACACAAGACAGAACACGAAACAATGGGTATAAATTGGATAAGTTTAGATTTAGGAAAGACTTGGGTAAATACTGGTTCAGTAACAGGGTTGTTGATTTGTGGAACCAATTACCGCGTAATGTGGTGGAGGTGGGGTCCCTCCATTGTTTCAAGCGCGGGTTGGACAAGTATATGAGTGGGATTGGGTGGTTATAAATAGGAGTTGCCTCGTATGGGCCAATAGGCCTTCTGCAGTTGCCTTTATTCTTATGTTCCATTACATGACAATAGATAGTCCCTCAGTCCCTCAGTCAGTCACTCAGGCGGTGAGCGACTCAAACAGTCAACAAGAGAGTAGAAAGAGAGGAGAGTTCTCTCTCACGGCATTAATATTTAGAGTTAACCATAGATTTAAATAATACAAAATTACACTTGAAGTAGATAAAATGAAAAACAGACAGAGAGAGGCAGACAGACAGACAGACAGACTGTCTGTCTGTCTGACTGTAACATTTGGCAAGGAAGCTCAGTAGAAAGGTTTCCATGGAGAATCATTGGAATCGTCTTTTAAACTATACTGTACGCAGATAGTTTTGAAATCGGCCCCAGTTTGCTAAAGCAAAGTTCCAGGCTTCAGATGGAGGCGGAGGTGGGGTGGGTAGGTCTAACTGAAGATAAATTTGGACCCCATAGTGGTCGCTTGTGAGTGTGGGCTCAACTGACCATGTTGCTGCATCTCTTAGGGAGGCTGAAACGAAGGTTAGGTCTAATCTGCCTCCTTGGATGTGGGTAGGTTCATTCTTGTTTAGGATTTGTATTTCTGGAAGCTGGTCCAGTAGATGTGTAATGTGTATGCCGGCTTCATTTGTTCTGTTCGAGCCCAGTGCCAATCGATGATGGGCATTAAAATCTCCACAAATGATTGTGTTTGTTGTTGTCGCGTGTCCAAATAACACAGAGAGATCCATTTCGGCTTGTGGAGACCTGAACACATTGAACACTTCAAGTTTGTCGTGTCTTAGCTCAATGGTGACTCCCATTACCTCTGTCCCTGCTCCACAATTGGGTGGGCTGGTTATGGATTTGGAGATCAAGTCACATTTTACATAGATTGCACATCCTGAGGACAGAGTTGGACTCTCTGCGGGAGGAGGTGCGTCAGCTCAAAAAACAACGAGAAGTAACGAAGGAGGAGACCAGCAGTAAAGGGACCTCGTCTTGGAGAGTTGTGAAAGACAGAGGCCTTAAGAAGACTTTGATAAAGCCGCCTTCAAACGCCATAGCAACTTCTAATTCATTTGACGTTTTGGAGGACGAGTGCTGTGGAGAGACTGTGGATCGCGCAAAAGGGAAAGCAACGAAGAGAAAGGAAGCGCAGGCCCCTCAGAAAGTAAAGGAAGTACCTAAGCAAACATTAGTTGTGGGAGATTCCCAGATAAGGTATTTGGATAGAACGTTTTGTGCTAGAGATAGGGGGAACAGGTTAAGGGTTTGCTATCCCGGAGCTGGCATTGGTGATATTATAAACAACATGAATGATATTATGGCTGGTAATGGGAACAATCCCATTATTTGCATTAGCGTGGGAGGAAATGATGTTGGTCGAGTTAGGAGTGAGGAACTGATTCAGAGGTATAAAACAGCCATAGAGTTAGTTAGGAGCAAGGGAGGAATCCCGATCATATGTGGCATTCTTCCAAGAAAGGGAGTGGGAAATGAATGGATATCGAGGGCACTTGGTGTCAATTGCCGGCTGGAAAGATATTGCAAATCAAATGCAATATCTTTCATAGACAACTGGGAACACTTCTATGGAAGAAATGAAATGTATGCTCGTGATGGGGTGCATCTATCGAGAGCTGGGGTTGTTGCTGTTGCGAACTCGTTAGAAGAAGTGGTTAGAGGTGTTTGTTTGGGTTTAAACTGTTAGTAGATAGAGGTATGGGAATTGATTTGGAGGAAGGAGGTAATAAAAGTATGTGTTTGTGGGAGAAAGGAATTGGCAAAACGATCAGGGAAAGAGAAGGTCCGCAAAATAACAATTCACTTAGGGTATATTACACTAACAGTAGAAGTCTAAGAAATAAAATTAACGAATTAAATGCTCTTGTCTGCACAGAAAAAATAGATATTATTGCACTTACCGAAACGTGGATGAATGTAGAAAATAGAGAACTATTAGCTGAATATCAAATATATGGATTTAAACTATTTCACACAGATAGATATATTAGACGAGGAGGTGG